CAATGTCAATATAGTAGGACCAGATTTTGTATAAAAATACCCTGCGGAACGTCTGCTCAAATCTTCAACTAATTGGCGAGGTTAAAGTTTCATTCTCCTCCACTAGTATGAAAATTGTATAATATCCAAGTTTTTTCAGTAACAGGTTTCATTGAGATCATGTATTCTTAGCCTATCAATTTTCTAGAGTAGACCATACGAATGTTTGTAGGCACAGTCAATACTTTGTTTCAGCCAGTAAATCTTCTTCTGTACAATTTATCATCTTTTCTTTCACTGTATTTTAAAAAAAGGCTCCCAAAACTTAATATATCTATTGTCCATAAATGTCAAATGTAGAAATAGAATTAATTGTGTTGTAGTTGACCAATTGTCCTCTCGGGATTCTTTTAGTATAGAAAAATATTTGAGTTTGAAAAAGAACAACTTTAAATAAATTATTTTTGCTCATGAACAACACGCTAAAAAATATGTACCAATGCCAATATTCTGTTTCAAACCAAAAAGTTTGATATGTTTATCGTTATTTTCTTGGTTAATATCACTGTTCCAATAATAAAAAAATTGGTTCAAAATATTCACTTGGGAACAATATGATTGTGAAGGTACGTGGCTAGAGGAGAAAAGTTTTGTATTGTGTATGTGTGTGTGTATTTGTGATGGATGATTTTTTACAACATACCATATGGTAGTATAAAAAAAACTTCAAAAATTACTGCTATGGTACATGTATAATAAGATCTCTTATGTAAACTATCGACTGTTTTTCTTTCTCATCTAATAAGTTTAAAGGTGCGTAATCTCTTATTAAGAATGAGATTTCTTTTTGTGATAGTAGATGACAGACTTTTTTTTGTTGCTAGAGGCAATAATGTTGATTGGATGTAAACACAGTTATGAATAAAGTTTAATTTAATATGTTTTCTATTTGGATTTTTATATCTAAAATATTTTTGTCAGCTAGACGCGCATTAAAACGCGTTAAAATAAGTTTATTTCTTGATAATTTTCTTTTACCTATAGATGTGTAATATAGTGCCTGCTCGGATCTTTGTACTCCATCTTCAACTTCCACACAACGTGTGTGATCGAAAGAGAGAGAGTCCAACTTTGTTGAAAATAACATACAACGGAATTTAAGTATATAGTGTGAGTAGACTTTTAATTTCGAAAATTTTGTCTGTATCTATTTTGAAATAGTCTGTTTACATAGACCTAGTATGATGTAGACTATCATGATGAATCTACGAGCTCATCGAGAGGAATCAAACGTATTCAAAAATTGAATCTGTGTTAATGCATTTGATCATGTACTACAACTAAAACAAATTTTCGTTAACTGGTCAAATTTTTCGAAAAATTAACATGTTTCAATATGCATTAACTACTAAAAAATGATTCTATATGCATGGGTTCATACTGTTCGATCTACAGTTACAGCACAAAACGTTCTGCTAATAAATTAGAATATGCAAGACTTTATAAACAAAAAAAACACACACATGTAAAATATATCGTACTTCACTACACGCTTGATAGGATCAACTAATGAAGAAAGGCTCTTATCTTAATCAACAATAAGCGGAAAAAACGACAGTTATTAAGAATAGAAAAGAAAAAGAGAATAAAACACCTAATAAGAACATGAGAGATTTAACAACTGGAAAGATATGGCATAGAAATATTTTATGAGGAAAGAAACTATAACGTCTATATCTATAATCTATTCAATTCTTACGTACACTAAACGAGTTTTGGGAAAAATGTAATATGAAAAGTTCTGATTGACGGTTGAAAATACTTTGAAATGATTAGAATTCATAGATGTACTATTATGCTCTATTAACGAACAGTCTCATAGATATTTTAATGAATATTGAACATTTTCACTGTATATTTATACAAAGCTAATGCAACTTAAACTAAACTATCAGTTTGTTTTTATGAATGAGTTCTTCAGATTTTATAGAATACTCTACATTTTTTGTACAATAAGTCCCTTACAGATTGTGTAAAAAAAAATTCTGTTTAACCGACTTATTCCACGAATAGATATAATTATACTTGATAGTTTTTATATTCTCTTTCTGTGTAATTAATATGCCAATTAAAGGCCGGTTGACAAGCATAAAACATCTAGAGATAACAATAACAATTCGTAGAAATGTGTATATCTCTGTTCGATTCTAAAATTTTTTCCTATTCTTCATCATAAAAATAACATCTATTTGAACAATTGTTTCGATTATTATTTCTAAAGTGTTATATGAGAATACTCATTCAATAAAGTCACATGTTAATGACGTGACAAAAATGAATAAAAAGGCGTTTCTAAACACTGAAATAAGATCATATAGACAGTTAAAGAAATATCTTCATAGTTAAACGGTTTTCAATATAACATGATAAAAAAAATTGTATTTTAAAGAATTATTAGCAAACAAAGTGGAAGAAAATACTACTGAATACCTGAAGATAAGCTCATCACCTGAAATCAAAGGTTTTTTCATCGTTCGTTACTTAATCATTAGAATTTGTTGTACAAAAGTTGAGAAAGAAAAATATGAATGAAAAAATACACCAGAATGGTTATAAATCATAGAGAAAAGAGTTACAGACATTAATCGAAAACGTGTTATTAGTGTTTAGTACAAACCATAGACACACATTTTTTTCTTCTTCTTGTCACATGTTTTTTCTCTCATTAATAATTAATAAAAGAAAAAAAAAAAAAAATTCCTATTGTTCATAGATATATTGTTTAAAAGTAAAAAAAAATTTTCTTCTTCTTCTTCTACTAGTAAACAAGTCGTTCCGATGATGCGAGATGGGTGTCAAACATTTACTTCAAGCAAACATCAAATTAACAAAAAAAATGAACTACTAGTACCGACATAAAACAAAACTCATCGGGTCGATTTTTCTTTCAATTCTTCTTTTTCATAATTAATTACAAACGAAGAAGGTTTTTTTTTCATCCAGAAAAAAAAAAAGTGTAGTATATTGCCCTCAAGACATTGGTAATGAGAAACGTACATCAAAGAACAATGTCGAATTGATGGGTAACAAATCGGTATAGAACACATTCACATCGAGGTTGATAAAGAAAAATAAAATACATCTACAGTCTTATCTTATAATAACAAACTCTTTAAAGAATTGAGAACATATACATTGAGAGTATTTAAATAAATACTACACTTGTTACCAGATAGTTTAATCTGGTGTTGCCATATTATTTTTATAAGTTTTAATAGAATGATCTTTTAAATCTTAGATTGAACTATTAAACTAGTATAGACTCAGAACTCGACAACTCCGGCTAGGTACAACTTTAACTCCGTTTCAACTTCGAGTTAAAATCTATTCGTTCTTTTTTCTTCCTGTTGTTTAATTCGTCCGTATAACGTTCATGTTTTATTTTATAATAGTATGAAAAAAAAAAAATCATTATATTAAATCAAAATTTCATTTTGACAATATTAATTTTGAAGACATATTCATTGTCATACTACTACGATGTGATCAAAACAAAACACCTGATTGTGAAAAAACATGCTACACAAGAGATGATGTAGTCGGTGCTGAAGAATTTTTTAACCAAAGTTGGAGTTGACAAAATCTGTCATCAACTCCTCAACTCTGATCGTTTAAAAAGCAAACTACAACTCAACTCCAATTCCGCAAAAAAGACGCTCAACTCGAGAGTTGAGTTGTTCAGCTCTGTATAGACTTATAACAGCCAGAACGAACGATATTTTACTACTTTGAATTCTATTTGACGAATTAGACAGAGAGTAGAAACAAGCACATAGAAGTCATGCTGATGTACGCTATAAAATCTGGTTTTCACATGAAAAACACGGTTGATAGATGATTGTTTTAATTCACTTTAAATAAATACAAACATATTGATTTTTTAATTATAAAATGAGTTGAAAATTTTCTTTTCTTTTTTTAATGGTATCATTTTCTTTTTTGTTCTTTGTCTCTGCTTTTTTTAAATTGTCAGTTGAAATGATTGGATTGCTACTGTCGATATATTGTTGGTAGTTATGAATTAATCGTTTCTAAAAAGAGAAAAAAAAAGAAAATTATTTACATTATTCAAAAAAGAACTTTTGACTAAAACACAATATCTACTCAGCATGCATTCATATTTCTTTAATTGTAAAAATAGGCTTTTAGTCTTATTAAATTTTAATGTTTATCGACGTAGAATAAAATTCACTTTCTTTGCTTTGTTCATATAGAATGAATAAAGAAGAATATATTTTACATAATGCAGTTTCTTTTAAAGCTTTTTCTTTACTTTACGAGTCAGGCATCAATAAATAATAATTGATATATTCTACTTAACAAAAGAAAGAACTTAGATGCATACATTTTGTTAATTCTATTCAGTTAAAAAGTAATGCAATTAACACTGAAATCTGAAAAAAAAGGTTTGCATTGTGAAGACTGCATAGGAAGATAGGATCGATGATAGAAAATAGAAATGATTAGCCATAGTGGAAAAGTTAAATTAACTTATAGATATATAGTAGCGAACAATATTAATGGTGATATTTTATATAGACTAGTGAAACTTACTCGTAAGCGTAATGTAAGAATATCAGGTTTGTTCTATCAGTGAAACTTCTACTTTTCATTGTCATAAAATCTATTTGAGTTTTTTTGTTTTGCTATCTTGTCCTTTCAAAGAATACTGCAGCAGGATGGGCGGAATGGTTGATTCTCTATCTCCCAAGCAAAAGTCACCTATGGGAAAAATCTAGATACGTAAATCGAGCGATTCACGACTAGTTATCATCTAGATTACTAGATGGATGGACAAGAAACTTTTAAACTGCATTTGGAACTAGCAATAGTTAAATAGATCGATTACCGGGCGATAAATCGATAGTAGCAACTGAGGAGAAATCTATCGATCGCTCAATTACTAGATTTCGACTGTTGTTACCAAATTATTCCAATCGAGTAGAAATAGAATAATCTAGATGCATCGGGCGATACTAGGTTTTCTTTTTAATGCTTGGGCTACTACAGAAATATTTGAACAGGATTTTCAAAATGTAATTTCTTCTAAAAATTGTTGAACTTGTGGTGAAATCCGAGTGAAGAAAGTTGATAAATATCATCAGTTAGAATAGCTTAAACTCTGATTTAAAATGAAAAAGTATTTTGTTCTTCAATTAGTCAAATTTTAGAAAATAATAGACTATTATCTGATTAACAAATGAAATACATCAACAAAAAAAAAAGAGTCACTTTGTTGTTATTTTTTAAATAAATAAGAATAGATAACTGTTTTTATTCATTTTTTGAATCTTTTACAATATGAACTATATGCCTCATTTATTCAAAAAGAAGTAGGAATTAAAATATTTCCAAACTAGAAATAATTGCAACAAAAACAAAACTTATTTTTTAGACTCGTATATATAAGCAGCCTTTTAACTTAAAATTTTTGTTCATACACGTATTTCAGAATAAAGATTAAGAGTCAAAACACCGTCCCACAGCTCAAACGTTTTCGATTAAAAAGAAATGGGAAGCATCAAACTGTCTGTAGTTATAATTAAAAAGTATCGCATATATAAGAAAAAAAGTGTCAAAAGTCTACTACTCACAGTTGTGAACATCTGATCTTTTTCAAAATTTTTCTTCTTCTTCACTTTCATAAACGGAGATATGGAGACACGAGCATCGCGTGCGTCAATAATTTCTTTTTATTGATGATCACTTCTATCTGTTGCGCTTTGGGAAATCTTCGATGTTAGCTTTTTTTCTCAATGTTTTTATTTGAATAAATATTAAAAAAAACTGCATCTGCTTTTCTCGAAAATAATACATTTTAAGATGACTAAAGCATTGACGTTTTTTTGAGGAATATTTTGAGGTATTCAGATAAACAAAGTTGATTTGCTCTTTAATGGATCAAAACATGAGAAGAAATAACTAACGTTTAAACAACTTTTTTATATGAAGGTATTTGAGAATCGAAAATTTTCTACTCTATATAGTTAACTGAAACGAATCAAAATCAATTAATTACTGAAGAAGAAGAGTAAAACTAGAACTTTTGTCTGTATCCTCTAAAAATCCATCTATTTCTACAATTCTATCTGCTCACACCTTCTCTTCACAATAAGATAAATGATACCCTAAAAGAAGACATATTAATAGAATTAAAATACAGAACAAGGCACGTGGTAGAAAAATTGACTATTAAAACTTAGACAGTCGTGTTTATTTAATCACTAACTAAACGACATAAGAATAAATACACCACAAATAAAACTATGTCCTAGAAGTCAATAAAATTTTACTCATTAATTAATCAGTTTTTCCTCTGTTTATTAATCAAAACCGTCTTTAACTCAATTATTTTCTTTTACTTTTTTCTTTTAATTTAATCCAAAAGAAAAGAATATATATATTTTTTTTATTACGACTATATTTAGTGAAATTTTAAAAATCATAGAATATTTATGATTGGTTAAGGAAAAGACACATAGCCAATTGGGTTTAGAAAAGCAAGAAAAAAAAATATCTTTCTTTTATTATTCGTTCTTTTTTCTCTCCTTCATTCGTTCTTTTTTTCTATTTCTCACAAGCAGAGATCACCATAGGTGAATTTATTATTTGTCTAGATAAAAGCAGGGACAACACAGTAGATAAGGGAGATGTATACCTGTATAGTACTTACAAGATGAAAATGAATGAAAACATGAACTACTTTTTATTTAAAATGATTTTTTCATTCCATAGCAAAGAAGAAGAAGAAGAAGAAAAAAAAAAACAACCGAAGGAGAGTACAAAATTTTTCTTCTTCTTTCTCTCGATTTGTTTCACTATTAATCTTAGCTAACGTGTGTTTTCCATAAAAATCTGTCATAGATGCTTGACATGTATGTCTGTGTGTGTGTGTATATATGTTGATAAATGATGATTATTGTTATAACCTATATGTTTCACTCTAGAAGAACGATAGACAGTTAGAAAGAGAAATCGCAAATCGATTTATTATTTATTTATCATTTATTGCATAAAATATTAAAAAAAACTTGTGTGTGCTTCAGTTTTAATAAATAATTACATAATCATAGTGGTGAAATTAATATTGGAAGAAAAAATTCACACTTGTATAGTGTGTATTTAATCATTAATAAACTGATTTAAGTCAGAGAGAGAGAGACGAGAAAGAGTAATCAACTTGGAGAGAAAACTGAATTATTTATTTATTATGGAAAGACACGTTTAATCGCATAGATAAAGAATTTATTATGAAGATATTTTAATACTTAATGTAAAAGATTGTGGCGTTGTAAAAATAGATCAATTATTAATGATAATCACTATTGGTGAAAATTGATTATTATTAATATTATTATTAATATTATTATTATTATTATTATTATTATTATTAAATAGCGAATTAGTTAACAAGTCGAAAAATGATGATGGATAATAAACTTGCATTTTCAAATTCATTGACATCTCAATCACCATTTAGCGGCAGATATTCACCAACAAATCTTTACAGAGTAGCAGCGGCTGCAGCTGATAGTCGTCGATATATGCCAACTGCATCGGTAATATATGTCTTTGTTTAGCTTTTATCTCTAAAAGTTTAATTTAAGTTTCTAAAGTATAAAGGACTTTTTGATGAACTTCGACAGTAGTAATAGTAAAAACATATTTTGACCAATAGCTTTTGTATAATGTCAAATTCATTTTTTAAATCAATATCTTTTATTTTCTAGTGGAAGAGTAATTGTTTTGTCGATAATTTCAAATTTGATCCTAATGTAAGTAAACAAATACAATAGAATTTATCATTTTTAATTTAAATATTGTTACTTTAAAGGGAAATTTTTTTCCAACGATTGACGATTCATTTTTGGCACGTGCCGAAGCCTTAGCAAAACCCGAATCATTTTATCCGTCTCATTTTCCTTCAACATTTTCCAATCAAGTCGCCGTTGCTAGATTTGAGTCGTCGAATGTTGTTGATCATCCAAATCATGTTGGCCTCTCAATGACTTCGTCATCATCATCACAAGATCAACTCAGTCCACATCATAATCCATTTTATAATCATTCAGTAATGAATGGTATGTCTGTACATCAAATAGCAATGCATCCACACGATCTCGATATTGATCCACGTGAACTAGAAGGCTTTGCCGAAAGATTTAAACAAAAACGTATTAAATTAGGTGTTACACAAGCGGATGTCGGTCAACAATTGTCAAGATTAAAAATGCCGGGTATCGGATCACTCTCACAATCGACGATATGTCGATTTGAATCATTGACATTGTCACATAATAACATGGTAGCTTTGAAACCTGTCTTACATGCATGGCTTGAATTTGCTGAAGCCGAAGCAAGAAGTAAGAAAAAAGAAGAACTCAATGGTCATAATAATAATGATAAAAAACGAAAACGAACATCGATTGCTGCACAAGAAAAACGTTTATTAGAAGGTTTCTTTTCAGTACAACCACGTCCATCTGGTGAAAAAATAGCACAAATTGCAGAAAAATTAGATTTAAAAAAAAATGTTGTACGAGTATGGTTTTGTAATCAACGGCAAAAACAAAAACGAATGAAATTTTCAGCAATTCAATCGGACTGACTAATGGATGTGATTTAAAAAACACATACAACAAACTTTAATTATTTTTGTAAACAGTGTTTTACATGTATTCTCATTTTTGATTATAAGTTTCACATATTCAACAATTTCTAAAATTTTACTTTATCATCCTAACGGCAATTCATTTCATACAGTTGTTTCTCTCGGAAAAGAGATACAATCTAATATAATGTTAACTAAAATTGACTCTGCGAATGTTTATTTCTTACGGAGAAATAATTCTAATTCTGATAATATTTCAATGATCAATCCACTTCAAAACTCGTGTATCTATTAGGATTTAGATATATATGTTCTCTTAAAATAATTGAAATTAAATTCATAAATCGACTGTTCACTAATACAATGAACTGTGTATAGTAGCAACAGGTAAAACTAAACAGAATGTAGAGTAATAAGCACTACTTAATTTCTAGAAATAATACGTTTTAAAAGAAGTTAGTATTTATTATCATATTCTGCCATCACAAATTTTGAATACACAGTTTGTATTCTCTATTTACCATTTGTCAATGCCATATGGATATCGTGGTAGATCGCTTTTTTTCTTTTTTTCTACTATCACGCTTTGATAACTCTTTGAAGTGTCGCTGTTATAGTTTCTAACTGCACACGATATAATAAAATGATAACAATATAAGATGGATCCGTCTCTTTTTTTTTTCTGTCTTCCTTCTTTTTTTTGTTGAAAAACAGGTATATGAACATAAAAAATACATAGTTCAATTTTTCTTTTCTTGTACATTTAGTTGTTCACTTTTTTCCTATTTTCTGTTATGATCAAATTGATACATTGCTCTATGTATTTTGTGGATGATCGTCTAGTCATTCACCATCTGTGATCTTACTTTCTATAATTAACACTTTTTTCTCTATGTTCGCGATGCAAACAATCAAAAATCGAAAAATTTAAATGACACAATAAGTCCCTTTTGTGTTTGAAATATGAAAATGCACACAAAACAAAATTCTACATATAAGTAAATGAAATTTATCACGAAATGCTTGACAGTTTTACAGGGCAAAATATGAAAATAGCTACAATTTACTTTTCTAAATATAGAGAAACAGAATACATGTGTATATCATTGATGTACAGATGGTAAACGTCGTACTATTCACATCTAGAAGTGAATGCCGAAGAATTAAACTATAACTTTTAATTTGTAGTTTTTTTATTTCTAGAATCATTTCAGACTCAAAGACAGAAATCGCCTATTGATCGGTTTACTTTAGGATGACTACTACGTCAGATATATATTGTCAGCATTAATTTTTTGAGAGACTTATGATCCACGAATTTATAGGATGAAATTGAACGTTCTATGGGATTTTTCCCTCTTGTTTATTTCCAGTAAAGTACTTGATATATTAGTTACATAGATATCGCTTAATTTCTCAGCTATCGATAAGAATTGTTCATACGAGGGTATTACAGGAATGGGATGGAATAGGACGAAACTTTCGTCCCATCTGAAAGTTTATTATGTATAAGTGTGTTTTCTCGTACAGTGGGATTTTCATCCACATACAATCCATCATTGGTTAAATAACAAACAGCAACATTTTGTTTTATAGTGAAACTCAAGTTCTGGGATGTAAGTCTTTCGCATATGAAAATCTTTGTATATTCGTGCAAAAATAGAACGCTCTTCTAATTAATTGCTAATTGGTCCTAGCGGTGGATCTTTTACGATGCAAAATACGGTATCATCTAATAACAATGATATTAATTGCCCAATGAATTCATGGTGTTGAAATCACTTTTAAAATTTTCCAAATAAGAACGTATTCGTTTGTAAGAAATAATTGCATAATGATTTATTTTTACTTACGGTGAAGTTTCACAGTAAAGATTGATGCATCACATCGTTATAAATAACGGATGAGGTAAAATGAATTTCCATTTCAGTATTTTTCGAATGATTCTTTTACTTTTCACTGCTTATACCAATTGTTTTGAATCTCCTGTTGAATTCTGTATAGGAAAGATTTTTAATGAAATTCAAACAAAGTGTCAAAAAAATATACGAATAATACTATAAAGCTCCGACATATCTAAATTTGAAACGAAAACACACCGTTTTTTCTATACTCTCTATGGATGTGAAGAAAATAATAAATCATTCTGAAGCCAGTTTTTAGTTGTCATTTATTTTATCAACAACCCAATCACATGAGAAATCTTTTCTTTGAGGTTTTTTTGAAAAATCATCGTTTTCGTTCTGTAATTTAGCGCCATCTAGTAAAACTCATATAATTTTGTCAAAAGTCAATATTTTTAGCACGAAGGGTTTTTGTTTTCAAGATTACTGCCCGCTTCTCGCATGACATCCAGGTTTAAATAGATTAAAAAATGAATTAAATGGGGGGGTTGTTGTTTTTTAAAAGTGGACATAAGCAGTGAAGCTCAAAACAAATTCGAAAAAAATACTGAGAAGGACATCTATTCAAGCCAACCCGTTAATAGTTTTGCATTTGATTTAACTCAAAATATCACCGATACGCTAATACCTATTTAATTCAATACGGATATTTCATTGATGATGATAACGCGATCAAACTCAATTTTATCAGTACCACTGGTCTATTTGTTAATAGCAAATGATGAAAAGAAATACTTCTATTAAGTAATATCATCTATGATTAACCATAATCATATTTGCTTGTTCCATCATTTATTATAAATAGAATTTCGACTTAGAAAATAGAACTTGTTTTCTTTTTCTGAAATGATCCCTTTACGATTGTACATACCAGTTTGGCAAACTTCTTATATGAAAATATTTCTTTTTGTTACATTTACAGCTCTAAGTAGTTGACAACAGCGAAGCTCTTGCCTTTCCAAGAAGCTCTTTCTAAATTTATATTTTCAGAATGCTAAAAGTTAAGCAGGGTCTGTACTTTTAGTTTATTTCTTTGTCATCTTTATTTTGTTTCTAAGTTTAGATCTTGTTTTTTATCTGTTCTCTTTGTATGATCTATTTGTTCAGCGGGGCTCATTGTGTTACAAGTCGAGGGACTTATTCGTCAATAAAGTCTCTCAAAGAACTTACTTAGATCAAATTGTCACGAAAAAGCATCATCTGAACTCGATGTTTTCGCATGCATTTTTGTTTTTTGTGCTATGATTTTAGTCATGTATGTAGATTTTACATGACTAATTATTTCCATTGTTATATACCATTCACTACTTACGCTAGTTTAATCAAATCGAAAAGTATGAGTTTGATCACTTATCTCTTGGAATAGTTTTTGTAGATCTTTGCTTAGTTTTTACAACAATTGAGAGCAGTTAAAAAAGAATTTGATTTTAAATAAGAAACAATGTGATAAAAATATCAGCTAAACATGTTTTATTACTATGTTTGCTGGGATTTAATTTGAAAAACGATAGAAATTCTATTTATAATAAATGATGGAACAAGCAAATATGATTATGGTTGATCATAGATGATATTACTTAAAAGAAGTATTTATTTTCATCATTTCCTGTTAAGAGCTGTTGTCAACATTCAGATAAAGAATCACGTTAAAATACACGTTGAAGATTTATTCTGTTTAAGTTTGGTCTAAAACGACTAAATCTTGGATTTTTACGTTGTCAAAGTGGCACAAAGAATTTTTATCTATTTAAACCTGGATATTATGCACCTGGATGCAAACGGACATTTATCTTCAAAACAAAAATCGTTCAAGGTAAAAACCTTGACTTTTGGGAAAATCATACGAGTTCTACTAGATAGCGCTAAACTATAGAGCGAAAACGATGATTTTTCTATGAACACTCAATATACGCATGAATGTAACATACGACTTCAATTGCATCAGAACATTAGCTTGCAACTTGAAATTTTGCAACATAAAATAGTTCAGATTATTCTCCAGAAACATCATTTGCAACTGAAATCCATATGCAAATAAACTGAGTGGCCAACTTGTTGCATATACCGCAAGGTTACAGGACTCTGTGGGATTTTCAGTTAAGGCTGTTCGACAAAAAATACGTCAGAATTTATCACGCTAACATCGCATAAACTTATAAATAGACCGAACGTTTCATTAAAAGTCCTCAGATCTCATAATCGATCTCATTAGAGCCAAATACAAACGGTATCTTCACAACAGAACGTATTTGTTTTAAAAATATTTCGTTAGAAACATTTTTAAAAATAATACGGAATTTTATGTCTGAAAAAAATGCAACTATTGTCTTGCATTAGATATTTTAAAAACAAAAAAAAGATTACAATAATTTCTTTGTATACAAATACTGTTGTAAATATATCGTTCACACTCTTCGATCCTTGTTATCATCATCGGACAATGTCAATAAAGCTTGAATAAACCGACAGAAACTTCCATATTACTTTCCAATTTTATGGCCAGTTATGCTCATGAAAAGTGCTTAAAAATATCAATGAACAGCTGTATCAGAAATAAAGCTTTCGTACATAGTTTATTCAGGCTAATCTGTTTGTAACCATCATTTACAGAAGTTCATCGATGTTTCTTAAAACTTTGTTTTAATATAAGAAAAATGACTAACAAGAAACGAGGAAACAATACAAAGATACCTCACATACTATTGTCTACCTCTGTGTGAGAAAGAAAGTTGGGAAGTTTTAATTCGATAAACCTAGTTTTACTTCTCATTGCACTTTTAAAATTGACGACAACAGTGGTTGTCAGATTCAACAACTTTGCTTCTGCACTGCTCGTAAAATTTCATTTCGTCGCAAGCATTCTACATGTTAGTCTTGATGAGTCATGATGCCACTCAGTCTTGTTTTTGATTTGTGTTTGAATGGTTATTGTGTCTTAGCTTGTTAATGCACTATTGAAATACGATAATAGATAAATTCTCTTATCATTAGTTTTCTGATATTTCATAAACATTTATATCAAACAAACAATGAATTTATATTCTCTTCTTTTCTGACGATCCTTAAAAACCAATGGAGCACGGCTTTTTGATC